GGATGGTTTAATTTGTATAGCTCAGGTTCCCCCGGATTTTTAGCAGATCTTCAATTGACAATAGCTCAATCTTAATATCTGTAATTATCTTCTTCTGTTTTCACAATTTTCTATTTATTAATTTACTCGTACTGGTTTGGTTTTCAGAATCAACCACAAAATAATGACTGTAATCTTCGCTCATTTTGTTGGCAATGACTCGACAGATTATTAGAATATGTAAAATCATTCGATACTTCATAACAGCAACAGGTCTTCTTCTGCTGATATTCGGTGTTTACAGTATCAAAATAGTCGTGAGAGAACGTGTTGAATATATAACTGCGCCAATGTCATGGAATAAAACCTCTTTCTCCCTGCATATGCCAGTAGCAGCACAGGCGCCGTATGATAATTGGATTAATATAATTGAATCAGCACCATGGCTGGTGCCACCAAATCGATACAAACAATTTCCCTATCAAGGTCATGAAAATAATTTGGACAGTTTGTTGAAGACAATGTGCGATGGTCACAAAAGGATAGCTATATTAAGATTTAATGAACAATGGCAAAACATGATACAGAATAACGTTTACACAATGACACGCTTTAACGTGAGACGCTTAAGACGTCCGATAAGACTAGAAGGAGAATTTAAGGTAAAGATAGAAGGATAAATGTCAGCTTTTAAAGCATAGTGGATTGAATGCTCTTATCTGAGACGTTTCGTCAGCTTACCTCCAACATTATCAGTCAAATGAACAAGTTTGAACGAGAGAAAAATATTCCCTTTTACAACTGAAAATAAGCGGAGAGAGAACTAGAGAACAGAATACTAAATATATATGTATCCGTGCAGTAAATGACACGTCAAAATATTTCAAGTAGAAAACGTTTTTTAGCATTCACATTCACTTTCTTTCTGTCGTTGCATAATCCAATAAGTAAACTATCTGTGATAGTTCTCTTTGTCAAGTTTCATTCCAAACGTAACCTGACCCGAAACGTGTCAGATAAGAGTGTTCCACCTATTATATTTAATAAGGTCTGGTAAGAAATTCCTACTGAACAACGATCGACCTTGTTCACCATTCTGTTCAATATTCACGAGAATAACACGTGAAACCTTAGCCCTGCGACTGGTTTTCCCCGATCTATCTCGAGAAAAACGAAAGCATACAGGTTTCTAACGATACGTTCATTCCGTGGTTGTGTTTTTATATTAATGTCGAGAAAGAAAGGTCACTGTAGATTTGGGTTATTTTGAATACTATTTCTTGTTTTATTTTTATTGTTACGTTTCAACGTCAAAGACGTCTTCGTCAGACAAAAGTAGAATAAAATGAAGGAAAGATGATTATCTGTATATATTTTATTACTTATAAAAGACTGTATATTTGTGATAGCGCTGACGAAGAACAAGACGGAGACCAAGTTCTAAAGAGACAACGACTAACTATCTCTTTCTTCTCCATCAGCACTATCAACTTAAAACGGAATTAAAATTAATGAATGACATAGTTATTACTCAACTCAAGCTGATAAGGGAGGCAAGATTGTAATTATCAATAAAGAAGGCTATTACAATATAAGAGAAGAACAGTTCTTTGAGGAAGTAAACGATCCCATAAAATATATTAAAAAGGAATTAAGTAAATTAATAAATAGAAAATTGTGAAAACAGAAGAAGATAATTACAGATATTAAGATTGAGCTATTGTCAATTGAAGATCTGCTAAAAATCCGGGGGAACCTGAGCTATACAAATTAAACCATCC